TGGCGCTGAGAGCTGGCGCTCGCAAGGAGGGCGGTTTATATAAGAAAAAGAGATGGAGCCAAACTAGCAGCGAACCCAGCGCACCCAAGAGTGGGAGCAAGAGTGAAAGCAGGAGCGAAATCGTGAGCTCAGCCAGAGCATGTGCTCGAACCAAAATGCGGCAGGAGCGCGATGTAATTCAAAGCATGTGCCTGAAGTCAGATGGCTGGGGCGGCAAGTGCGTGAACCAATAGCCAAGGCAGGTGCTCGATGCACACGCTGGGCAGGAGCAAGACCAAGCAGCTGGGGCAAATGCACGATGCGAGCTGACCAAGACCTCGAGGGGAAAACTGGCAGGAGAGCGACATTTGAACCGACACTAAGAACGGCACTGAGAGTGGAAGGAGGAGCAGGAGCAGGAGCAGGGACAGAGGCAGGAGCAGGGACAAAGGCAAGAGCAGGAGCGAGGGCAAGAGCGAGAGCAAGCACGAACGCAAAAGCTGAGGCAGGAGCACGATGCAAACCTTAGGGCAGGTGCACGAGGCAAGTGCTCGAAGCATCAGCTGGGCGAACGCACGAAGCAAGACCTGGAGCAAGTGCTCGAAGCAGAAGATGCTCAAGGTCCACATATACGCCCAAGTGTTTTCGCGATTAGTGATGTTATTGCAAATATCTTTGATATTTAGACCAGACAAATGTTTGTTCCAAGATCTGCCCTCCGTCATGAACATGAACCGATTCCCCATCCTATAATAATCACAATCAACTCCGCGAAATCAGAAACCCAAATCTAAAAAAAAATCTATCTTTTTCATCAGAATCCAATCTCCGGTCACGTCAAGTCCTCCTGCTCCTCTCTAGAGGCGCATCTTGCGAGAGAGCGTCGCCGAGCTCCATGTACCCCAATCGCGCCACGTCTCTCAAATCAGCCAGGATCTCCACCGCGCTGCGCTCACGCTCACGCTCACTGTCCTGCTGCTGCTGCTGCTGCTGCTGCTGCGACCCTCTCCTTCTCCATATACGTCCGCCGCCGCCGCCGCCGCTTTGAAGTTCGGACGTGGTGTCATGCCCGTCGCTTTCGGCATTGTCGTGGAAATCGGAATCGGATAAGGGCAAGGCGTCGTCGTTATTCTCTTCGCTTCTCTCTTCCGAAGCGGCTGGACCAAGCGGGGGTCCTGGCCTTGCTGCTGTGGTGGTCTGGAAGAGGCGAGCCTGGATGCTTTTCAGGGCTGAGTAGATGGTGAACAGGGCGAGGAAGGTCCAGAGGGCGAGGATGGCGAAGATGAGCGTGAGGCCGAGGTGGGTAAGGAACGGAGAGAAGGGGGAAAAGGAGAAGGAAAAGAGGGTGTGAAGGGGGAAGATGGCGAGGATGTGTTGGAAGAGTGTGTTGCCGAGTGAAAAGACGCCGGCATCGAGGGTGTGCTTTGGGGATACTGGGGACGGCGGCGGCGGGGATAGGATCCCAGCCTAGAAGGTGGTTTTGTCCAAGTGAGAAGATGGCTCGGAATCGTTGTTCAATAGGACAAGAGAATGGATAGGTGACTTACATGTGTCATGATTGTTTCCGTGACGGTGACCGGAGAAAAGAGACTGAGAGTCGGTGTATCCAAGGTCATCTGTCATCCACACACGTTTTCATCAATCTGAGTTTCCAAGATACTCGTGTATAGAAAGAAGAGAGACGAGAAAAGGTGCTTACGACTGCTCCTGCTATCGTAACGATTACAGTTGCGGTTTCCATGCTCGTTATTGCCTGTGGCGCGATGGTCAACATTGGAAACGAAGTAGCCAACTGAAGAAGAGGTCGTTCATACCGCCAGTGTTTCCGTGATGAAGATGGACACGGTAGAGGTCGGTACGCTGCTTGGTACCTAGCACTGAGTGTCAGCATGGCATACGAACGAACACTCGTAAATCTCCGTGATCCACACAGCGGTCACACTCGAAGGGTGCGCCTCCAGAAGGCATCCGTGTATCTCGATTACACTCATGTAAAGATATAATACGAAGAGAAAATCGCGGAGATACGTACGAGTACAGTCTCGGTGGAGGTTACGACCTGCGTGATGGTGGCAATCGGGCAGTGACACGGCGCTTGTATCACAGGGTTTGTAGCCGTGAGGCCGTTATTTTTGGCCTGCGTAAGCTTCGATGCGAAGAATGCGAGCGCCACAGCCCAGACGGTCGAGGCGAGAGCTGCGCCGACCTGGAGGCAGAGATGGATAAAGCCGACAACGCTCTCTCGGTACCAAAGGAGAGGCGCGATGAGACAGAGGATGGGCATCAGCCATATCCAAGTGCTGGAGGCCACTAGGAGCTTTGAGATCCGATTTGGGTTCGGAGATGCTGCAGGCTGAGATACGAAGCGGGGTTCGATCTCGAGAGGTAGAGGGGCCGGCGGGGGTACCACTGCCGCCGCGAGCAGCTCTCTTTCGGGCAGTGGGATGGCGGACTTGGATAACTGGTAGTGATCCTGCGGCTGGGCTTGATCCTGCTGCTGGGACTCTGGCTCTGACTCGGATGTCGAACCGGAGTCGTAGAGATCCCGGGCTCCCCAGATAGCAGCTAGCTTGGCCCCGATCAACTCGTCGATAGCCTCCCGGCCGTCGGGGTCTTCTTTGGTCCATAGAGGGAGCCAGCCGATGGATTTCAGAATGGCCTGCCGATGCAGCCGGTAGTAGTCTTCTGGACCGCCGTGCCGGGACATGTATTCCACGGCGGGAGGGGCAGTGAGCAGACTATTCAACAAGAGGTAATCATCTCGAGACAACTTCTGGCCGGTGGTCATCTTGGAAGTATTTTTCCGCCCGCGTGTGGCATCGGACAGTTATGGTAATCGAAGGCCTGGAGGATCGCAAGTGTCAGTGACAATAACTCACAACGCCATGTCGGAACAGCGCAAGAGGTGAAGGATAGAACCGGTGTAGATGTAAACTTGTTCACTTACGGTATTACTCAGACTAGAGTGATTTTGAAATCGGAAATCCAAGGAATCGTGATGAATAGCTTCAGATCTCGGCGGAAAAAAGTTGTATCATGGAACTGATGGGTGGCCGGAAGCAGGATGTTGATGCCAAGCATACACACACTCTGGCGAAGCTAAGCGAGAGTGACGGATCCTTGCAGCAAACGGAGTGCGGCTACCGATTATAAAACAGCATGCGAAGCATGTCCACATAATCAAGAAGTAGGAAAATATGTATTATCGTGGAGAGCATGATTTGAAGCAGTACTGACATAGGATTGGGAAGTATCTGAGACAGACCGTTGGACAGCTCCCAGAGATTGTTGGCAACCGACTGCAGAGCAGTATTGAGCTGCGTAAATATGAAACCTGCAAACAAATTTTGGTGTTTTTTCTTATCCCGTTCTGTAAAAATGTCTTTCGGCATACCCGGCGACGATTCGCCGCGCATGCTTTACTACCCAGCAAGCTGGCTCTGATAAAGGGCCCGGAGCATAGAAAGTATACCAGGCAAAGTGTTTCAAGCGGAAGGAACAGGCCGAGCATGGATATATTGCTACGATATACTAACAGCTCAGATGTAGCGTTTACCTTCTGAAACATGTCCCGATACTTACGTCTTCTGTATTACATGCACCGCTCCCCTTCTCACTATCTTTGCTACCATCATCTTTACATCTTTAAAGATTTTCCGCCATCTGAAAAATCAATCAACCTTACCTGCACATCACCACGCCTTCACATCCTCCAAACGGCAAACCGAGCAAGATGGCACTCCTACAAGTCCAAGTGAGTTCCAGGTCCTATTCTCCGCCGGACCAGCCTCTACACACCTATTAACCTCAATCTCAGAAAAAGCTGTTCGGTCTCGACCTCAGCAATCTCGTTCCTAGCATGCGTGCATCGTACGATAAGGAAGACAACGATAAGTTCCGCGCTTTCTGCAGCACCAACAAGAAGTTCTTGCAGTTCCTCGAAGCCAAGAGACCTACCGTCACCAACCTCGCCCGCTTCGATTTCGGCGACCACGAGCTGTACGCCACATTCGGCTTCGACCGCGACGAGCTGAGTGAGATGACCAACTATCTGCAGGAGCCTATCCTCCCTATGCTCGACGACAAGGTGCATGGGAAGATTGCGCGAACCTGTGCTGCCCTCGGGTGAGTTGGTTTTCTTTGCCGCCCGCATCCGCCCTCTCTCTCTTTTCAAGATCTTGCCTCTCTTCGCCTTTGCACATATACCTGATACTGATTATGACTTCTTCTTTCTCTTTTAGATCATCGATCAAGACGACCAAGAAGGGTATCGACACTAGTCTCAAGCCAGCGGCTGCTGCTGTTATCAATGAGCCCCCTCCCGCCTTGCTCGAGAGCATCGAAAACCCTTTTCCCAGCCAGAGCCCATCGGGCGAGGCGACCGGTACCGGAGACACTTCTTTTCTCGAGATGGTCAACATCGCTCTCCCAGCCAAGAACGACGCAGACATGACCTCCTTTATCCAGAAGAAGAAGAGCCCCTCTCTTCGCGTCGGCATTGATCAGACCCGTGTCCGATGTGCAGCTGATACGCCGCCGCTATCGCCAGTTGAAGTCATCGAAACTTCGGCCGGGAATATGAGCAAGCAGGACATGCTCGGAGTGATTAATGCCTTGCTGGTGCGCAAGAAAGAGCTCGCGGCTTGGAGAGCCGAGTCGGAGGAGCGTCGTACTCTTCGTGCACTTGGCTTGTGATTTTTTTCAAGCTATTGCAATCCTTTCTTTACTTCAATCGAAGAGAAAAGATTGCAGCGAGAGCTTTCGCTAGAATAATGGTTGGATGATTGATTGATTTTCACGTTCGCTAAGGGTTTGTTTACACGGAAACGGATGGTAAAGACGAAAGATTTTCTGTACTTGCGATGTTGGATTAAGATTTTTTGATTTCGTTTGGAAATGGCAGAATCAAACACAGTCGTTACAATTATGAGAGTTAGCATATTCAAAATCGTTATACTCGTTTCACAGTAGTAGAGGAGCAGCGCGGCTGCTATCAACTGCGCCCTTCCTTTACGGATGAGATAGATTATAAAGCGAAAGACCTTGTGACAAGATAGAAAACCGAAAAGACGAAGCAAAGTGCGCCATCGCAAGCTAAGAAGCGTAGCGATTGCGAGCTGTAGAACAGCACTAAGCAGAAGGCCGACGCATCAAGAGAAAGCGTCCTCGAACGATTCAGCTCTTTCGACGACCTCGACTACAACCCGATAGACAACCAAGACGGTACTAGCCGCCTTTCTCGAGACACTTCGATGTCTCTAGAAAACGGAAAGCTCAGCGTTATCGGTGTCTCTAGCACATCAACGAAGATGGCGGTTTATAAAGCCTTGGCGTTTAGCTCTCGACCTCGAGAAAGGCGTTTGTTGACTTTCTTCGCTTAGTCAGCGCACGGACTCGTAACGCCAAAGATGCATCAAAAGTACCGTTTTTACTACTTACCACAGCATATAAATAAAACAGCCAAATATAATTAGAATTATATAAACTGAATAATATTCTGCTTGATAAGATACATCTTTTTATATAAAGATGTTTACTATATAGTTGGTGGTTGATATTCTATCGATTTTATAAAGGCAAACGTCGTTGTCCCGGGTCGCTTGCATCCCCGATCGCTGAGTGTCCCGGGTGGGTGGTGCCGATTTGGCTGCGCTTGGTCGAGATTTTTCTTAAATTAAATTCAAGGTAACTGTCGATTAGGTCTGTTCGGATCTAGTCATATCGCCGTACTTTATAAAAGGTACTAGGGTGGCATGCTTCGCCTGCTACTCGCCCGACGTTAATAAATACGGAAAAAAATAATAATAACAATAATAACAACAATAAGCCCTCACGCGAAGACCGGCCGGTACTTGTCCAAGCAAGAATCAACCAAGACGACGAAAGTCACTCGCCTTAACATTGATGCTACGATGGCCTTTAAAAGCCTGCTTTCCCTTTTCCTTAAAACGCTTGTCAACCGCATCTTCGGAAAGCAAGTCACGAGGCCTTGGGCACGTATATAGGTTACACGTTACTTCGTAAATCCGCAGCCAGGTCGGCACCAAGGACCCGGGACAGCTACTTCTTCCCTTGTATAATCAATATAAAATCAATCATCAATCATATCGGAGATATTTCTGTACGAAAAAAAGGCATTTTTCCAACTCATATCATAATTAATCAATACAACTATAATTATACGCAGTTGCTTTACTATTGTGCTATGTTGAAGTAATTTCTTACAGTAAAGAAAGGTCCATGCGGTGATAAAGCTTGGCGTGTCCCATTCTCGACCCTATCAACATCTCGCAGCGCCCTTCTCGAGCGCGAAAGCCAAGTGCCAAAGCTTTCTAATCAGCACCCATTTATTTAAATTTTCGGTATCATATAACTTATATGTGTGTGCACACGAGGTTAAAATCTGGTACGAAGCAACAGCTAGTATTCGTAATGTTGTTAAGTCTACAAGAAGAAAGCCAATCTATTCGTGCCGCTAGAAAGTCTGTAAGGCTGTCTGTTACCCATGCATTGATCTTTTCCAACTAAGGAAAGGGTTGCTACGCTTTGTATGATTGGACTTGCTTAAATCTAGAAAATTTGATTCTATGTTAAGATGATCGTCGGCATAGGTGATAGACTTCCCAGCCGCACGAATAAGTAAGAGAAAAAGCTATATGCTGGTGCCAAAGCCGGCGTACCTAATGTAGCCAAGTGACCTGGTGCCTATATTCCTATACTAGCAATTTTTGCTCTTGCCATAGCATTAGCAATGGTAATGGCATTCCACTTTCAATTTCTATTCTTTTCTCATTTTTTTTATAGCTAAAAAATGCGCTAGGTTGGGTCTCTAGCCTCTCTCTAATTGTTTCACGTTGTTCCCACCCTAATCGATATTGCTGAATTGAGAAGGTCGGCGGAGTTGTTCTGAAGCTGGCAGACTGGTGAAACGGGTGAGATTCCTAGAGCTTGGGATTCCGGAATTGGGAAGTTTCGTCAGAGCTCGGGGTTGCTATGCTTGGGATTATTAAATTGGCTGATGACTACGAACGTGCGTCGAGCCTGGGGCTGCTAAGCTTAGATTGGATGTAAGCCGAATCGAAAAAGACCGTGGAGGTATATCTGAAGCTGGCAGATCGAGGGTGAAATCCGCGGGATTGATTATAAAGAAGCCGAGTTTAAAAGGTCCGCGGAGCTTAAGATCGCTGAAATGACTGAACACTTGGCTGAAATAGTGCGGGGGTACGTTCTAAAGCTGGCAAATGTGTAAGACTCGAACTCAAAAGAAGTAAGATGAATTAATAAGGTGCGCTTAGCTTGGGATTGAATGTATTGATACCGAATCGAGAAAGACCGCGGTGTGTCTAAAGCTCGGCAAAAGTGTTCCGAAGCTAGCAGATCGAAAGATAAGATCCGCGGGATTGATCTTGAGAGGCGCGAAGCACGTTGAATTATGTTTTAAAGCTTAGCAAAAGAAATGCGAGATACGAGGTAAGGTGTTTTGAAGCTTGCAGGCCGAGAAGTGTTGGATCGCCGGTCGCGATCTCGTAATAAATATTCGTAACGTCGTCAAAGTACTTGCAATTGCAAAACACTCAGTTGGTAAGGTATTTGAATTCTATATGCTCCCCAATACTCAGGGGAGCTGACTCTATCTATACGATTAGAAGGAGTCACGTGCACTAGCTAAATAGTAGGTTTTACAGTCAAGTTGGGGGTCCCCTGACGCGCAAGCGCGTGCCACGCTAAGCGAGGCACGCGTAAACCATGGTTCACAAGGGGGGGGAGGGGGAGGAGAGAAGGGTTGGCCATATTACCCCCAACTACTACTAACTAACTTAGGTCGATATGGATATACCGACAGAAAGAATTGTGAGGTTCGAAGAAACTGAAGCTGGGAGAATTGGTCTGACGCTAGCGGAAAATAACGCTCGAAGTGCTTAATGTTATTATTATTTTCGATGTAATTATTTACGTCGGGCAAAGGGCGGGCGGAGTTTGCCGCTCTAGGACCTCTTATAAGGAACGGCGAGGTGCTAAGCTAAGGAGTTACATACAAGAAGGCCCTAGAAAGCAGTTCAAAGTGGTACATCAAGAGCTGCCATCAGCTGCGGCTTTCCCTTACGAAATGCTTAATAAAGAGATCGAATGTAACGGTTTCTTTAGCTAAGGTGCTAGAGGTTGGGGCTTTCAAATAAAGAAAGATCTCAGTTAGCTATCTCCTAGCGTAATAGACGCCGTAAAAGGGGCTATCTACCTTCTTTGCTGTACCTAGCATATCTGTGATTTATGAATGAAACCATTAAGTGATCTAATCCGTATATGCGTCAGATATCTACGGTATAGTCTCGGCAATAGATAACGCATTCTGTGTAGCCATTACATTTAAAATTATTATCAGCAAGCCTCAGCTTCTACGCTAACGTGGCCGTCCATGCCTTTTTCGGCTGCAAAAAAAGCTTTTACTTACGAAGCTGCAGTTAAGCAAATGCAACTTAAGAGCTGCTTTGCTAACGTTGGACTGAATCTCTATTATCTGGTCCGGAACATCGATTACTCGGCGATAATCACGGAGTCGGCAAACGATGATGCCTCTTCTTCTACATACGATTCTCTGACAACACTTTTTATTTGAGGACAGCTAGCGGAGGAGCGCTCAGCGAGGGCGAAGCTTGGCCTTTGTTTTTTACTGGTTCTCTTTCAGAGCTGGCTTTTTCCAAGGCGAATAGGTAATTTTGATCCAGCAAGCAAGCTGGCCGGAACGGAGAAAACGCTCGACAAGCTAAGCTTACACCCTCCCTACCAATATAAATAGGTAGAGCCCTTCTTGATATTGAGTTCCTCCTGTTATGATCAAATTTATGATAAGAAGAACGAGAAGTATAAATGAGATCAACGTTCGAGTAAAACATTAAGTGGAGAAAGGCTGAATGAAGAAAGAAGGGAAAAGAGAAGCGAGTAGGTAATGGAACTAAGGACATGGGAGAATGAGCGAGACGATTGGGGACTTACTTATAGGTTCTCAATTGAAAGCTTATTCTATATGATTTGAATTGCTATAGCGATGGTAAAAGAGAGAATTGTGAGTGTGGGAATACTTGACCAGGGACATAAGGAACATAAGGGACCTGAGGGAATCGGGGTTAAGGACTCGGACTCGGGCTCGGAGTTAAGGACAGACCGAGATGGCCCGTGCGGAGGACAACACCACGAATACCAGCCATTGCCATTGGTACCGACTTTTAGTATGCATACATCTTATATAGATATTGATACGTTTTATAATGTAATAAATTCGATTATTTCTTATCGATCTATAAGACGTTGCCTGATTGTTGACATCCACTTGGGCTTCTACTCGAAAGACGAATGTCTTTTTAAAAGGGAGGTCGTAGGCGCTGAAATCGGATCCTTTACGTACAGACCTGAGATGTATCGGCGTATCTTTAGCACCGGGCACATCCTCATTCCCAGGCTTCGCATGCCCAAGCCTTTTTACAAGTTCTACGGCACCCAGAATTTTATATACGCCTCGCAGACTTCATTTTATCTACATTATCCACTAGCGTATGTTAATAAGGCTGCCGAATTGCAGAATCTGCATGCCCGGGATCTGCATGCCTAAGCTCTTCCACAGGCTCTTCTACAGGTTCTATCGCAGACCCTAGCAGTCCCGAGTTGCGCAAGCGTGACCATCCTTGACACCCGAGTGAGGTGCCGAAAAAGAATAGACCATTATGTATTGTTCTGTCTGCAAAGTGGGTGCGAGGGGCTACCTACCTACGTACTTTCTTATATTAGCCTCGCAGACTGAACTTCATCTCTGTTACCCACAGGCGTGTATTGGTAAAGATGCTGAATAGAAAGGGTCGTAATTTAAAAGCGCTGCAGCTCTTAAAAATACTTTTCAGAGCTGAATCCTCATAAGTTGTTGATCCTTAACTCCGATTCCCCCATGTCCCCAGTCCAGGGGTCCTACATAAGTCTGAACGCTGATTTTGTATCTACTCTAAGGATTAATAACATCATGAATTTCATATTGTAAATATACTACGTGCCAGGCGTAAGTATTACCCCTTGAGCATAGAGTAACCAAGGCTTTTAAAGTGGAAACTCAACATCTGAGGCACCCTCGAGGGGTAATACTTAGGCCTGTACCGTGATACTACCATCTTGTAGCTGTCTTGCAGACCCGAACGTATTGATATGCTAGTGCGTGAGTCCTGGGTTATTAGAAATGGCGTTGTTTCACGCTCAATTTGATCCCTAGTCGAGGCCTCTACTTGAAGTGCTTGAATTGCCTCAAGCAATCGGACACTTCAAAGGGACAGGCTCCCATAGGGAAAAGGGAGGGGCAAGGGGGGGTGATGGGGAGGAATAGGGAAAGGTGGCCAGGGCGATTATATTGAGTTTTCTAGCTTTACATTTCCGCTTTTCCTTTCCCCTTTCCTCTCCTTCCCTTTGCTTTCTTTCCCTTTCCTTCCCAAATATCTTATCTGCCTTCGCTCGAGATCCGCATCGGTTTTCCATCGGGGCCGGCACACCAACCGGGTACCCACCACGTTTTGCCCGGGCTAGAAAAGAAGACGCAATAGTTAGTTGTGTAGATGTATATACATATGTGTAAATGTGTAAATGTGGGCATATGTATAGATATGTGTGGATGTATATGGAAAAGGGTACTTACGTGATTTCCACGACGGGTCTAGAGGTCGGACGGGATTGAATTGATGGTGGTGGTGGTGCTGCTGCTGACGAGGCTGCTAGCGCTGCTGCTAGTGCTGATGCTAGCGACGACTGTAACTGTAGTGCTGTAGATGAAAGTAGCGGCGATGCCGATCCCGTTGTCCGTCGTAATCTTGTCGTTGATAATGATCCCGCCGTCGGTCGTAACATCAAAGGTCGGTGGCCGATCCGCTCACCCGAATTGCTCTTGACGGCTTTTCCGGGTCGGAGAGTCGCAACAGGAACCGGCAGACTGAACTCGTTCCTTGAAGTGGTGTTAAGAGTATGCCTGTTATCCGCTACAGGTGACAGGCCCATGTCGAGCTCGGCAGCGGTATGGGTCGTGGCGGTGGATCCTCGTGTGGCGGCCGAAGGCGCGGTGAGATTCCCTTGCGAAGAAGCGTCCCAGACGAAAGGAGCGAGCGTCCTCTCTCCTGGCTGGTTGTTTGGCTGGTTGTTTGGGCGGCGAAAGGAAATGGAAGAGGAGGCTTGAAAGCCCATGGCCGGGCCGGCGAGCGTCGTCTCTCTTGGCTGGTCGTTTGGTTGGGTATGTGGGCGGCGGAAGGAAATGGAAGAGGAGGCCGGAAATCCCGTAGCCTGGCGGATGTGTCTCGAGGTGGCGATTGAAGAGGGAGTGAAAACAGAAGCGGGAGTAGAAGTGAGCGTAAGAGAGGGCATAGAAACCTTTCGGTCGTCGTCCTCATCGTCGGAAGCAGTAGGTTCTATTGCATCGCTGTCCGAATCTATCAGCGGACTGTACGGCCCGAACTTCATATCTTTGAGTCGATCTCTTCGATTGGGATTCGGAATCGGAAGCTTGATATCGCCTTCTACCTGCGCATTGGCGTCGTAAGGAGGAGACGGGGGTGACGGAGTTGGAGAGAAAGTGATGGGATGCTCACGAGACCCGTAAGCTGGGAGGCCATCGTGCGAAACCCACGAGTCCATGGTGAGCAGTCGGCAAAAGGAAGAAGAGGGTTGAAAGGATGAGATGAATGGATTGATGGATGGGTGGATGGATAGTGGATAGGTGGATGGATGGATGGATGGACGGATGGGTGGACAAGTCTATCAGAGCGACAGTATCGTATTGCGATTTAAACCGACAAACGGACGATGGACAGACGGAGGGACGGGAAGAGGAAAGGATACGTGCAGCGGGCCAAGTTTCAAAGCTGCAAGAATTCGAAGGACTGAGACAGAAACAGAGAGAGAGTGTGTGTGTGTGAAAGAGAGAGAGAGAGAGAGAGAGAGAATGACGAGAGAGTGTGTGTGGATGTATGTGTGTGTGTGGGAGGAGAGAGTCTTGTAGGCGGTGACGAACGGAATTTCAAGGTCGAATATCAAAATGAAAACAAACAGAACATCGCAGTATAGCCGGCAATTGAATCAATTTACTAATCAGTTGCATTAATCTATCAACTATTCAATGAAAGAATCTGACAAAATACGGGATGTTTGCTAACGGACGGTCGCTAGTAAAGATGGACGTCGAGAACGCACGAAGAAACTTAGATGAACGGATCTGAATTAAGCTTACTAATCACAGCTTACTAAGTCACGCTTACCAATTAAAGCAGAGACGGGTCCGGGACCGTTACGGCGGGAAAGGGCGGGGCAGCTTTGGCGGGGCGGGGCGGGGCTGGGCGAAGCGGAGCCAGGCGGAGCCGGTCTGGGCGTTTGCGTACCGGGAGGAGCAGACGGCGATCTAGCTGACTACCGACCGGGAGATGGCTGACTGGCTGACTAGATAACTGTTTGATTGGCTGATTGGATAGCCCTTGCAGAGATGCCTCGGGATATTTGATTTCTTCGCAGACGGCGGGCTGGTTGATGCTTCAGTCAATCTGCCCGTCTGCCAGTCCGCCAGTCCGTCAGCCAGTCCGTCAGTTAATCAATGTCAGTAAGTCAGCGACTCAATTAATAGATATTATATAAGTAAACGTATTAGATCTGGTTGGCTGCGCTGATAGATCTAGTGCTTTTTTCCCGAAAAGACGGGGGCGGGCTGAGCACTGATGTATTTTGGCTGTTTGTTGATGATCGGCATCGGCATCAGTATCGGTATCGGCAGAGATTGTGGGCAAGCACTCGCTTTGATCCGTCCGTGTCCGTACCCACTTACCTGGCCGGCTAGCTAGGTACCGTATGCCACCGACCGCGTAGCGCTATGGATCATTCACTTGTTCCGCCTAGCTTACTGACTACTATTCACGACCGCTGCCACTCGACCCGGCTATCGGAGAATTGCGACGTGCAACAAATGCAAAGGATTAATGGAGCTTCGGATCGGCCCGCGGAGCCACCGCGATGGCGGGATTTTATGGACTTCTGCGCTGAAAGAGGTTGGATAAACAGAGAATCGAGTCGTGCCGTAGGGTTTGGCTTGGGATCAATTCGTAAGCGATTGCGAAGCGGATATGATCCAAGATATCCGTACGGTCTTCGTACCTTGTTTGGGATTTTGTTAGTACTTATAAAGATATGTGCATATCAAGACTCAATACGAATAGCAACCTGTTGATATTCGTGATATTGTTCAGTTTATGAAAAGGAAGCTATTCTAGGCGCAGAGTGTAGCGGTAGTTGTGGTAGCGGTAGTGCCAAAGCCGCACACGCCACTATGTCTGTGCTTAATTCCGAGTCCGGGTCCTTAACTCCGATTTCCCTATGTCCCGAGTCCAGTATTCCTACAGATTTAGATATAGATTTTGATTAAGATTTTAAGACCCTGGGATTTTCAGACTCTAAAGTTTTGAAACTCCAATCGTCGGTTACCTTGACTTTAATTTAATTCGAAAAAAATCCTCGGTCGGCGCTTCCAAGGCGGGATACAGACCAAGGCGGGACAGTAACGATACGAAACTAAGTAAGTAACGACTAATAGAATAGACAAAGAAATAGCGTAACATGGTCAAAAAGCTTTGCTGTACAAACGCATAATAAACATATAGAGATGCATTCATTCGTTGCGAGTCAAACTATTAAAAAGTAGTGAAACTATAGCCAAAAACAGACCTAAATAATCAAATTTCATCTGTCCGCATCGAATATCTTAATAACCACAACTATATTTGAGCAAAATGGAACATATATCGAGATGAAATGATTGAATCTATTGTATTACAAAACGAAAGAATTGTTCAATAGAAATTGGCAGTGATGCGTATGTACCTTTGATGGACTTTGCTTGAAGCCCGATTTTCGTGTTCCTCGCTTATTCAGCACGTATAGTAGAATAGTACCAAAATCAATAATTATCGTAACCCGTCGCACCATCTCTTTCTTTTTCACTCTCAATATGATCGTTAAGTTCAGAATCGCTTTTATCAGCTGCTAAGTCATAGTCGCTTTCTGCTCCATCATCTTTAGAACCGGGACCGATTACAATGGCCGCTGATTGGAGAGCCTTGGCGCTTGGCTTTTCGAGCTCGAGAAGGGACTTTGTTGAGCCTCTTCGCTTAATCAGCGCAGGGACCTGTGACGGCAGAAATACATCAAAAGTAAGCGATTCTACTACTTTACTACAGCACATTACTAGAGTAGCTACATATAATTAGAATCATATGAGTTGATTAATACTGAAATTGATACCGTGAATTTTTCAATAAAAAGATATCCACGATATAATGGTTGGTTGATTGTCTATCGATTGTACAAGGGGCAAATTTACTGTCCCGCCCTGGTGGTGCCGACCTGGCGCTGCAGGTCGGGTTTTTTCCCCGAATTATAGTCAAGGTAACTGTCGATTACCAAGAACTCTAGGACATTACATAGTCTGTAAAAGTTGGTGATCTGTAAGAGTCCGTAGATAGAAATATTTAAAGTCTGTGCAAATCTGTAGTCTGCAAGCTTTGCATACAGCTTGAATGCAAGCTTTGCATTTATCTTAAGCTGCGTTACTCGTTGGTTGCCTTGGTGTGAAAAATTTCACGACTTGCCTTGGCAAGTGGGAACCATCAACTCGGACATACTCGTGCGGCCATGAAGTCTGTCCGCCAAGGCGAAAATCGCCCCAAAATACCACGGTACAGGCCTAAGTATTACCCCTCGAGGGTTGGGTAACCAGGGGGCTTAAAGTGGAAACTAAACTTTTGAGGCACCCTCGAGGGATAATACTTAGGCCTGTACCGTGGTAGGTTGCAGGACTCACTCTACTAAAAAGGCACTTCAGCGTACCATGCGTCTCCAAGATTTTCGCCTTGGCGGACAGACTTCATAGCGGCACGAGTACAAGCGACCCGGACAGAGCGGGAGTATACGTAGAACAAGAATAAGAAAACAACCATTAATATAACAATAATATAAAAAGTATCCATGTACTTAGCGAGCATATCTTTATTGTTATATTGTTCGTGGGAATTCAATTAATATTGCTATGAAGGCTATGATATGAAATGTAGTGAAAAATGTTTGAGATTTCGGCTAAAATACTAAAGGATTTCCGATCTAGCTATATTTTATTGTCAACTATTACTTTCATCTCGTTGAAAAATTTCTAAATATGCAAGTCTCATTTAATCATACAATCTTACAAAAGGAAATCTATTTTAAACGTAAGTTAGTGGTGATGCATTAGTAAAGGGGTTCAAGATGATCAAAATTTTGATGTTCTCGCTTATTCTAACATAATGGTCAGTGCGCTGACTTGGTACTTGCGGGGTCTCGGCGTGCATGGTCTTCTCAGAGAGCCTCGATCTTTTGATAGCGGTCAATGTTCTAGGATACATATCTCGAGCGGGGGTTTGTTTTCGCATTTTATTAGATCAGATAAAATCAAATCAAATCAGATCAGATCAGATCAGATCAGATAGGATCAGATTAGATACGCGGCAATAGGACCCGCCCGTCTTGTGCGACGTGGGCTCTTGTGTTGGGGTCGTCAGATTCCCGGTGCAGAGCTCGTAGAAAGCAAGCCAAGGAAGGGCTTTTCTCATGAGGGTGTTGAGAGGGCGTGTTATGAAGAGAAATAACCGAAGAATCGAGTGCAATTAAAATGAAGTACATAGAGTCAGTAGTTGATTTGTTTTCATTATTATGCGTATACTTCCGCTATGTCCGGGTCGCTTGCATGTCTGGGTAGGTGGTTCCGACCTACGAAGTGTCGTTTGTGGCTTTGGGCCACCAGGCTACTAATTGCACAGACTCACCAGTGGAAGAGGCTACGGAGTATGACCTCACGTTACACAGAGCTTTATAGAAAATCAATCAACCTTGCAAACATATTTCATTTTTATATCTGTGAAGGAAGTCGTGAAATTTCTCTAACAAATATCTAGGCAGCCGATAAGTATATATATTCCGGAATTCCGACGTGAAGTATGTAGAAAGTGTAAACTATGGATGCAAATCGTAAATAAAAATTCTAGATACATATTATAGATGCAGAACTTAAATACAGATTATAAATGCAGACTATAAATATAAATTATATATGCAGATCGCAGATGCAGATCGCAGATGCAAAATGTAAATGCAAACTATGTATGCAAACTATAAATGCAGACTATAGATGCATATTATAAATGCAGAACGTGGATGCAGCTTATAAATGCAGACTATAAATATAAATTATATATGCAGATCGCAGATGCAGATCGCAGATGCAAATTGTAGATGCAGACTATAG